GTGTGTGTGTGTGTGTGTGTGTGTGTGTGTGTGTGTGTGTGTGTGTGTGTGTGTGTGTGTGTGAGTGAGTGAACGCATCCTGATACAGCCGAACTCTGGGCTGGTTTGGATCTGGAGTCAAATGAGGCAAAAGCCTGAAAGAAGTAGATTCTGAAATCCAAAAGCACAGAAAACTAGAGCGAATCAGAGTTCTGAGCTGCAGGATTCTCCTGTGACCGTGTGACTGCAGACATAAAGCTCAAACATGACATTAACAACACCATCAGCAGAGCGATGCAGGAGCCTTCGATAAAATCATCTGCCAAAGGCATCAATATACTATAATATCTCTGATCTGAAGGCAGCTGCGGTTCTTCTGCTGTTCTGTTTGTATATGAATGCAGTGAAATGCATCATGGGATCTAAACAAACATGCTGGATTCAGAAGGCTCATTCTCGCACTGGTTTACTGGCCATCACCAACACTAAATACACGTTTGTTTATGAAATGACAGACCGTCTAGTGTTCTCACGTGACGTATGACCACCGTCCATCATAAAGCACAGCGTTATGAACTCGAGTCAGATTCAAAACAGGCACAATTTTGGGTTTGATAAACTGAACTGAACTTTTTATGACTGAATGTGTTGTTTGACCTCAATATACACACTTATAAATGTTACTATAGTTACTGTGGTGAGAGTCCAGTGATAGAGGAGAGCAGAGCTGAAATGATTCACATCCTAAACAAACCATAAATCACCATCACTTTCACTAAAATAACTACAACGGAAATATAGTGTATATGTAAATGTTGACTGCTATGTAAATGTTAATTTTCAGAAGTCTTCCTGAAGGCTGTGTAATGCTCGGTCTGGAAACTGGCGTCTCTCTTATGAAAGCAGAGACTGAATGAGTCACAGAGTCAGAAGAGCTCTGGACGCTTGGTCAGTGCCACGTGGAAGCAGGAACAGAGCCAGACTTTCCCTGAGCAGCTCCTTCACGAGAACCACTGCAGAACACACACACACACACTCACACTCACACTCACACTCACACAAACACTAACACTAACACTAACACTAACACTCACACAAACACTCTCACAAACACTCACACTCACACAAACACTAACACTAACACTAACACTCACACAAACACTCTCACAAACACTCACACTCACACAAACACTAACACTAACACTAACACTAACACTAACACTCACACTCACACTCACACTCACACTCTCACAAACACTCACACAAACACTCACACAAACACTCACACTCACACTCACACTCTCACAAACACTAACACTAACACTCACACTCACACTCACATTCACACTCACACTCTCATACTCTCTCACACTAACACTAACTCTCTCATACTCTCACTCTCTCACACTAACACAAACACAAACACACTAACACTAACACTAACTCTCACACTCTCTCACTCTCTCACTCTTACACTCGCACACACACACACACACACACCGGACCAGACCAGAACACACACTCACACCACACCAGACCAGAACACACACTCAGTCTCGCACACGCACGCGCACACACACACACACACACACACACACACCAGACCAGAACACACACACACACTCACACTGGACCAGAACACACACACACACACACACACACACACACTCACACTCACACACACACACCAGACTATACCAAGAATAATACACCACACCAGATCAGACCAGACTAATGTTCAGTGAAGTTTGGGTTTGACTGCAGCGTAACACGCACACACATTCCTGCAGTATTAGAGAAGCAGCAGCAGATCAGAAGCACATGAATCAATGCTGCACCTTCACTCAAAGAGAGAGAGAAATGCAGCTTCAGCCTATGATTCGTTCTTCAGCTTGTGAGCAGATTATGTTGGGACTCGGTCCAGTCGCTGAACACATGACAACAGAACACAACAACAACGGCAGAACAAAACACGACTCAGCTCCGATCGCAGGCTGAAAGTCATGAGCAGAGCCAAATGTGAGTCAGAAAAACCTCCGATAGACGCTCCGGCATCTCTGTCCCACATTTCCCAGCTGGGCTCAATCTCTGTCGTTTCCATCGATTAGACACAGTCTGCTGAGAGTCACCACTGCGTCCATCAGATCACACAGAAACACGTCCAGATCTCTGACAGCAGCTCATGAGGAACGACCCTCTCAAAACATCAGGCCACTTCACCAGAAAACCTCCTGGACTTCACACACTTAAGATCATGTTATTCTACCCAAAAGCGTTTCTCAACACCATTGTGAGTTTTTAGACAAACAGATAAATATGGCAGAAACTGGGATTCGAGTGGAGCAAACGTTCCAACACATTTCTATGAGAATAATTATACAGTATGCATTAAAAAGGTATTCATAATGTACATGGCAATGCATTGTATCTTTTCAGAAATAATTGTAAAAGCATTATAATGTGAAGGTTTGTTTGTCGTGTGTTTTAAAGCATTATACTTTCTAAAGGTGTAACAATGAATAGATTAGTATTATAATGCATTATGGTTACAATTATTCATCAGATCATACAATGCATTATAAGGTGCATTTCAAGACATAATTAATGCATTAAAACTACTTTCATAATGCATTATATATAAAAGCTATAAGTAAAGTGTTACTGAATGCACTTCTCAAAGCAATAATAATGATTTAATGATAATATTGTTTATTAAAACATAATTTTGTGAGGAATATCACACCGTATCACAATTATTTTGTCCATGTTTTAATTTAAACAATAAACCTGCTTTTTAAGAATGTGAATTATTCAAATTTCGTTCATTAATTACATCGTTATGCGTTTGATTGCCACTGTCTTTGATCATATACATTTGTATTAAATCATAAAACACAGATTAACTCAAGAATTCCTGAAACGCCACACATTTTATATACAGGGAACTAGTATTGTTAAACTTTTCTAAAATAATTTATAAATTGTTAAAGTTTTATTGTTCCAATTGATAAAATCTTCAATGTCTAATGTCTTAAAATGTAATTAAACTATTAAAACAGAATCTAGAAAAAAATAAAATAAAAAGGAAAATATAGAATTTTGGAAAAAATGAAAGGAGTTTAAATAAAGACTGTCAGATCTTTTGATCTGGATCAGTGTACGTGATCCACAAAACCATCCTGGATAGAAAGCAGGACTGCTAACGATCAGCAGAGATCAGTACCTGCGACGGGCTCCGCACAGACAGGAAGTCCTGCACAGGAAGTAGCAGCTGCAGTCTGGAGTCAATGTGACGGAGACTGTGGAGTTCAGACGGTTCAGGACCGAAACCTTCACAAACTGATAGAGTCGACGAGACCACCTGGAAACCAGAGGAGACATAAATAACTCTTTTTATCGTTTATTTTTATCTTTTACTCGTTTTTATTTCCACCCGGCCTTCAGCACATTTAACCCAAAAATGATCTTTCTGTCATCATTTACTCTCCCTCGTGTCGATCCAAACCTGTAGGACCTGTAGGAAAGAAGATATTCTGAAGAACGTTTGAAACCAAACAATACTGGACCCCCGTTGACTTTATATGAACTTCCTCAAAATATGTCAGGATGATCATTTTTTCAGGCTTTCATGGCTAATATAGTACGAAATAATGCGAAAACCAGCTCAATTTTATTCAGAGACTCAAACTGAGCAAAAACATGAAAGTGCTGCAGATGCTGATATTTAATCAGTGACATCTTTCTAACAGTAGAGCAGATGCTGACATGATCTAAATATCAGCCGTGGCTCTATATCTCCAGTAATATAAGATGAGATTGATCCAAACATATAATGCAGTGATCGAGAGCTGAAGAAATAAAGGCTCCTCAGAAGATGTGAGATGTTCTGGAGGCTTGTGAAGATCATTCCTCCGCTGAGGAACAGTGAAAGTAAAGCTTCTGGAAACAAACGCTCCTCAAAAGATCCTGAGGATCAGATTTGAGACTCTAAAACATGATTGATGGAGAATCAAGTAAAGCTGAGCTGCTTCAGTGCAGTAAGTGTTCATCTGGAGATATTACTGACGTTATTCTGACGCTTACTTGATCAAAACCAGTCAAGATCCAGAATTACACTGAAAGAGCTTCGACTGGATAACACACTCTAAACTCTCAATCAGAGACAGAAGACGTGCAGCAGATTGAGTGACAGCAAGGTTGGATCATGCAGATCATATTAAATATGATAAAGCAGGCTTTAAAGGGTTAAACAAAGTCCAACATGATTAAAGGATTATCAATAGGAAGATTCTCAATAACATGTATTATCTGAGGGTGAAATCCTCAGCAGGCCTCCGTCACAGATTTCCTGCTGTTTTGCAGAAGCGCTCGCATGACAATAAAGCCCAGCGGTTTTCCTGGTATTTGCTCTTGGACTTCACACGATATCCTGACTGCAGCTCTCAGACGCTCGGCCAAAGAGCCCTTTAAAGCCAAATATCTAAGTCTTGACTAATATCCTTCTGTTTCCCAACGAGCGAATCTCCCATCAGGCCGAGCGGCGAGCGCTGAGGTCAGAGGTAGGCGAGGGTGAGGTAAGCGTTGGCATGCTGCCTGCGTGCAGCAAAGACTTATGGGTAATTAAAAGCCTCACTATAATGACTGTGAGCTCATAGATCCGCCGTACTGAACTGGAATATAAACATATAGCTCCAGATAGTAATAACAGACGTTACTGCACAACATATGGAGAGGTTCTAAGAGTGTTTTTTTGTATCATTGAGAGTTTTTGTTAATATTTTGAATTGGATTTTATTTTTATATTTTCTGCTTTCATGTTAATTTTAGTTAAAGTTTTAGTAGTTTTGTTGTGTGTTTTTTTTTGTCTTTTAAATATGTCTATATATTTTTTAATTTTTATTTTGTTTTAGTTTTAGTTATTTTTGTACATCAAGTCAAACGTAATGAAGATGAGAAATGTTGCCTTGGAAACTAACTTTTTTTAATTCACTATAATAACCCTGGGTTATAAACAGTTGAATGCTATGTTTAATAATAATCTTGCATTTGAAGAAAATACAAATCATAAGAAAACCTACACTAACATGCACACTGGCAGCAAAAAGTTTGGAATAATTAAGATTTTTTTCAATGTTTCTGAAAGAAGTCTCTTCTGCTCACCACAGCTGTATTTATTTGATCAAAAATACAGTAAAAATATGAAATATTACAATTTAAAACAGCTGTTTTCTATGTGAATCTCTGTTAAACTAATTTATTTCTAGAAGCGCATGTGTGAGAATACAGCGAGATCAAAACCAAGTTAGCTTCGTTGCGCTTGCAAAGCTGCATTATATAAGATGCACGGTGGATATTGTGTGAATTAATGTTTATTCTTCTAATGAAGTGTATTTATTATAACATAAATAGTTTATTTTGTGTAAAAGATGTCATATCTCACAATTATTACTTTATTTCTCTGAATTCTAAGATCATATCTCACAATTATTAAATTTTTCTCAGAATTCTAAGTTCATATCTCACAATTATTAAATTTTTCTCAGAATTCTAAGTTCATATCTCACAATTATTAAATTTTTCTCAGAATTCTAAGTTCATATCTCACAATTATTAAATTTTTCTCAGAATTCTAAGTTCATATCTCACAATTATTAAATTTTTCTCAGAATTCTAAGTTCATATCTCACAATTATTAAATTTTTCTCAGAATTCTAAGTTCATATCTCACAATTATTAAATTTTTCTCAGAATTCTAAGTTCATATCTCACAATTATTAAATTTTTCTCAGAATTCTAAGTTCATATCTCACAATTATTAAATTTTTCTCAGAATTCTAAGTTCATATCTCACAATTATTAAATTTTTCTCAGAATTCTAAGTTCATATCTCACAATTATTAAATTTTTCTCAGAATTCTAAGTTCATATCTCACAATTATTAAATTTTTCTCAGAATTCTAAGTTCATATCTCACAATTATTAAATTTTTCTCAGAATTCTAAGTTCATATCTCACAATTATTAAATTTTTCTCAGAATTCTAAGTTCATATCTCACAATTATTAAATTTTTCTCAGAATTCTAAGTTCATATCTCACAATTATTAAATTTTTCTCAGAATTCTAAGTTCATATCTCACAATTATTAAATTTTTCTCAGAATTCTAAGTTCATATCTCACAATTATTAAATTTTTCTCAGAATTCTAAGTTCATATCTCACAATTATTAAATTTTTCTCAGAATTCTAAGTTCATATCTCACAATTATTAAATTTTTCTCAGAATTCTAAGTTCATATCTCACAATTATTAAATTTTTCTCAGAATTCTAAGTTCATATCTCACAATTATTAAATTTTTCTCAGAATTCTAAGTTCATATCTCACAATTATTAAATTTTTCTCAGAATTCTAAGTTCATATCTCACAATTATTAAATTTTTCTCAGAATTCTAAGTTCATATCTCACAATTATTAAATTTTTCTCAGAATTCTAAGTTCATATCTCACAATTATTAAATTTTTCTCAGAATTCTAAGTTCATATCTCACAATTATTAAATTTTTCTCAGAATTCTAAGTTCATATCTCACAATTATTAAATTTTTCTCAGAATTCTAAGTTCATATCTCACAATTATTAAATTTTTCTCAGAATTCTAAGTTCATATCTCACAATTATTAAATTTTTCTCAGAATTCTAAGTTCATATCTCACAATTATTAAATTTTTCTCAGAATTCTAAGTTCATATCTCACAATTATTAAATTTTTCTCAGAATTCTAAGTTCATATCTCACAATTATTAAATTTTTCTCAGAATTCTAAGTTCATATCTCACAATTATTAAATTTTTCTCAGAATTCTAAGTTCATATCTCACAATTATTAAATTTTTCTCAGAATTCTAAGTTCATATCTCACAATTATTAAATTTTTCTCAGAATTCTAAGTTCATATCTCACAATTATTAAATTTTTCTCAGAATTCTAAGTTCATATCTCACAATTATTAAATTTTTCTCAGAATTCTAAGTTCATATCTCACAATTATTAAATTTTTCTCAGAATTCTAAGTTCATATCTCACAATTATTAAATTTTTCTCAGAATTCTAAGTTCATATCTCACAATTATTAAATTTTTCTCAGAATTCTAAGTTCATATCTCACAATTATTAAATTTTTCTCAGAATTCTAAGTTCATATCTCACAATTATTAAATTTTTCTCAGAATTCTAAGTTCATATCTCACAATTATTAAATTTTTCTCAGAATTCTAAGTTCATATCTCACAATTATTAAATTTTTCTCAGAATTCTAAGTTCATATCTCACAATTATTAAATTTTTCTCAGAATTCTAAGTTCATATCTCACAATTATTAAATTTTTCTCAGAATTCTAAGTTCATATCTCACAATTATTAAATTTTTCTCAGAATTCTAAGTTCATATCTCACAATTATTAAATTTTTCTCAGAATTCTAAGTTCATATCTCACAATTATTAAATTTTTCTCAGAATTCTAAGTTCATATCTCACAATTATTAAATTTTTCTCAGAATTCTAAGTTCATATCTCACAATTATTAAATTTTTCTCAGAATTCTAAGTTCATATCTCACAATTATTAAATTTTTCTCAGAATTCTAAGTTCATATCTCACAATTATTAAATTTTTCTCAGAATTCTAAGTTCATATCTCACAATTATTAAATTTTTCTCAGAATTCTAAGTTCATATCTCACAATTATTAAATTTTTCTCAGAATTCTAAGTTCATATCTCACAATTATTAAATTTTTCTCAGAATTCTAAGTTCATATCTCACAATTATTAAATTTTTCTCAGAATTCTAAGTTCATATCTCACAATTATTAAATTTTTCTCAGAATTCTAAGTTCATATCTCACAATTATTAAATTTTTCTCAGAATTCTAAGTTCATATCTCACAATTATTAAATTTTTCTCAGAATTCTAAGTTCATATCTCACAATTATTAAATTTTTCTCAGAATTCTAAGTTCATATCTCACAATTATTAAATTTTTCTCAGAATTCTAAGTTCATATCTCACAATTATTAAATTTTTCTCAGAATTCTAAGTTCATATCTCACAATTATTAAATTTTTCTCAGAATTCTAAGTTCATATCTCACAATTATTAAATTTTTCTCAGAATTCTAAGTTCATATCTCACAATTATTAAATTTTTCTCAGAATTCTAAGTTCATATCTCACAATTATTAAATTTTTCTCAGAATTCTAAGTTCATATCTCACAATTATTAAATTTTTCTCAGAATTCTAAGTTCATATCTCACAATTATTAAATTTTTCTCAGAATTCTAAGTTCATATCTCACAATTATTAAATTTTTCTCAGAATTCTAAGTTCATATCTCACAATTATTAAATTTTTCTCAGAATTCTAAGTTCATATCTCACAATTATTAAATTTTTCTCAGAATTCTAAGTTCATATCTCACAATTATTAAATTTTTCTCAGAATTCTAAGTTCATATCTCACAATTATTAAATTTTTCTCAGAATTCTAAGTTCATATCTCACAATTATTAAATTTTTCTCAGAATTCTAAGTTCATATCTCACAATTATTAAATTTTTCTCAGAATTCTAAGTTCATATCTCACAATTATTAAATTTTTCTCAGAATTCTAAGTTCATATCTCACAATTATTAAATTTTTCTCAGAATTCTAAGTTCATATCTCACAATTATTAAATTTTTCTCAGAATTCTAAGTTCATATCTCACAATTATTAAATTTTTCTCAGAATTCTAAGTTCATATCTCACAATTATTAAATTTTTCTCAGAATTCTAAGTTCATATCTCACAATTATTAAATTTTTCTCAGAATTCTAAGTTCATATCTCACAATTATTAAATTTTTCTCAGAATTCTAAGTTCATATCTCACAATTATTAAATTTTTCTCAGAATTCTAAGTTCATATCTCACAATTATTAAATTTTTCTCAGAATTCTAAGTTCATATCTCACAATTATTAAATTTTTCTCAGAATTCTAAGTTCATATCTCACAATTATTAAATTTTTCTCAGAATTCTAAGTTCATATCTCACAATTATTAAATTTTTCTCAGAATTCTAAGTTCATATCTCACAATTATTAAATTTTTCTCAGAATTCTAAGTTCATATCTCACAATTATTAAATTTTTCTCAGAATTCTAAGTTCATATCTCACAATTCTTAGAAGAAAATTTCATATAGTTAATATACAGAACAGAAAGAATATAAAATAGAGAATACAGAATACATAGAACATAGAAAGATAAATGTATATATAATTTTAAACTCACAATTGCAAGTTGAGCTCACACAGCGCTGTCTTTACAAAAATATCATGAAAAATAAATTCCGAACTGTGAGCTATAAACTCAGAATTGAAAGAAAAACAGCCAGAATTGAAAGATGAAAAAGTGACCGAAACAAGCTTCCACAGGAACATCTGAACATCTTACTATCAGACTGATGTCTCTCGGGGTCAAAGAGTCAGACACTCGCAGAGAGACTTGTGTAATACAGCGTCTCAGAGGACTGATCACTAGTACTAGTGAAGACTAATATGCGTGTATGAAGCCGTACCTGCGGTTCAGTCAGCAGGTCGCTGCTGTTCTCTTCTTCCTCTAGATCTTTCAGCAGTTCCTCTATTCTCTCTTTCTCCTGCTGCGTGAGCAGAAACCAGTTTCCTGACGCTTCTGTGAGCTGAACAATCACAAACACCTTCAGTCAAATAACCAAACATATGCTTCATGATCCAGTCACTACATAAACTCATGTTCTTCCTCAGCATTTCTGTCTTGTTTTCCATTTTTGATTTAAGATTCTTAAATCAAGATTCATTTACTGTGAATGACAAACTAATCAAAGTGAGTTCATCGTCCAATGGACTTCCAAAATCAACTTAATTCAAAGGGAAAACAAGTTTCATTCTCCACTGGCAGACATCAAGACTTCATATCTTAAGGATGTTTAAATATTTGTATTAGAAGACACAAATACTGAGGAAGGAATTCATTTTTTGCAGTATATGCAACATTTAAGGCCACAACTGTATGTAATTTAAGACTTTCTTTTCTAATTTAAGACCTTTTAAGGCTTTAATTTGAGGAAGGGTGAATAAAGGCTTCTTAAGACCCACAGAAAGATACATTTGCTGGAGATGACAGAAAATAACCAGGAATTGATCAAAATGAAGTGAGTTTACGCTTAAAACAAGAACAAATATCTGCCAATGTGGTCCGAAAAATCAGCTTTGAATTTAGTTGATGTGTCTGAGATCACTGGCAGAAATTTGTGCTTGTTTTAATCATAAACTCATTTTCTGACCACTTTTTTTCTTATCTGATGTGCTTCTGCATCTCCAGTAAATGTAAGAAATGTGTACTGGAAAACAAGTCATAAATACTGAGGAAGAGCATCAGTTTCTGCAGTGGAGCTGGAATCAATTTTGCGGGTTTTAATTCTACATTACACCTGTGCTCTCATGAATGGATGTCTTTCCATGTTTAAAGACCCCATGGAACACAAATGTGAGTTTTGCACAGGAAAACAGACCAAATTTCTCAATGACATCATAATACACTCATTTCTGTCCAATCAGAAGCTCTGTAGAATAAGCAAGCCCCTCCCCCTGAGACCACCTGACGCATCAATATCACATTCAGACTTTTTAAAAACAAACGGGACGAGCCCTTCAATAAACCGTACGCCAGCAGCTCCTTCCAGCATTCTTCACCCACATGATCAGTCGTACTCTAATCGTGACCTCGACATACCTCAATATTTCTCTTGACAAAGTCTTGTCTGCACTTGCTGCGAGCAGCTCCTCGCTGTCTGCTGTCTGACGGCTGATCCTCCATCAGCTGCTGAAACACAATGAAAAGAGATACATGTCATATTCACATATGAAACTCATGGCATATTACCTACAATCAAACTGCATAAAAGTACTTCATACTTTAAATAATCTGCTTGATTGTCAATTAAAGTCACAAATCACTATTAAAGTGAATTGATCTGAATAACGACTCTATTGTCTTCTGTAGAGCTGCTTTGAGTTTGTTTCATAATTACAGAATTTTACAATTAACACTGATATTTTACGGTTTATTTCCGTGAAGCTGCCTTGAAACATTCTGTACCGTTTAAAGCGCTACAGAAATAAAGGTTACTTACTTGTAATGTCACAATAATGCAAAAAAACAGGTGTCATTTTTTATGAAAAAATAATTCTCTTAAAACTGCTTATTTTTAACACAGCAATTTGTATTGTATAAAGCACTAAATAAATTAAACTGACTTGAACTGACTCGATTTAATAGTGAGATATGAGCTGTGAACGTCCTTGACATGAATTTTATTTAAAGCTGACCGTATCAGTTTTAACTATACAATCTTTAATTCACACACTGTAGAAAAAATGTGGGGTTTTTTCGGTTTACAAGAAAATACTATTTCAGCCTTCCGACCTCAATAATGTCAATGTGTTACTTTCCATCTTCGTAAATATTTGTAACATGTATGAGCAATTTCTGAGTGAAAAAACTTGTAATGTCACAATAATGCAAAAAAACAGGTGTCATTTTTTATGAAAAAATAATTCTCTTAAAACTGCTTATTTTGCTGCTTATTTTCAGCAATTTGTATTGTATAAAGCACTAAATAAATAAAACTGACTTGAACTGACTCGATTTAATAGTGAGATATGAGCTGTGAACGTCCTTGACATGAATTTTATTTAAAGCTGACCGTATCAGTTTTAACTATACAATCTTTCATTCACACACTGTAGAAAAAATGTGGGGTTTTTTCGGTTTACAAGAAACTACTATTTCAGCCTTCCGACCTCAATAATGTCAATGTGTTACTTTCCATCTTCGTAAATATTTGTAACATGTATGAGCAATTTCTGAGTGAAAATTGATTTTACACCAAGTTTTTCATGTTCTGTAAACACTGAAACAATGACACAGCGACTCAGAAATTATTGCAGAACGCTTCGATCCTTTACCGTCCGTCTCGTGTCTCGCGTTCACGTCACTCTTCAGATCGAGAACTTCAGTCTCAAACACGGGGACAAAATCCACTTCATCACCGTCCTGATCTGAAGCGCATTGAGGACAATAAGAGTGAACCATTCAGCATGAAAATCTGGAATCTGAGGGTGCAAAAAAATCTAAATATTGAGAAAATCATCTTTAAAGTTGTTCAAATTAAGTTCTTAGCAATGCATATTACTAATCAAACATTAAGTTTTGATATATTTACGGTAGGAAACTTCTTCATGGAACATGATCTTTACTTAATATCCTAATGATTTTTGGCATAAAAGAGAAATGTATAATTGTGACCCATACAATGTATTGTTGGCTATTGCTACAAATATCCCCCAGCGACTCAACACTGCTTCTGTGCTGCAGAGACACATGTATAATTATTATTATCTTATGTAAGTCTGACAGGCTCACGGTTGTTGGGTGTCAGTGCCAGAAAGCGTCTGGTGTTCTCCATCTCGTTGCTGCTCATGCTGAGACTCGCGGTCTGTAAGGTGTGTCAGTGTTAGTAAAGCACACAGACGTCTGTATGAAGCGCTGGTGTGTTTGATCCACAGACGGACCTGAAGCTCCTGCCAGAGTCTCTGGTGCTGCTGCTTTCCTCTCTGCTTCACCTCTCTCTCCGCTGACGCCCGGAGAGCCAGAACCCGGTCCAGTCTCTTCATCTTCTTTATGGCTTCTCTCAACTCCGGATCTTCATTTTCTTCATCGGACTCTTCTGTGAAATAATCAGTAGAGCACTTAGGAGACATAAGACGTACGTGCGCTGGTCTGAGCTAGTTTATGTAGGTTTGGTGCTTTGGCGATTTTATTTAATTATTTAGCTTTTTTTTGTTGTTGTTGTTGGTTGGTATTTAGTGACAGGGTGCAAAATTTGTCCAAAACCTGATATATTAATGTGAGAAATTAAAAAATTATTTCAGCTAGTTTTTAAGGCAACATTTCTCATTTTGATTTAGTTGAACTTGCACTAAAATAACTCAAAATAATGATTAATAAATAAAAAACTGATAATAAAAAAATATAATAATAATGAATAAAACCTATATAGACATATCTAAACACATTTAAACAACAAAAATAACAAAGTTACAAAAACTAACTAAAATTTAATATAATTAAATTAATTTATATATTTGATCTAATTCAAAATATTAACAAAAGCTATAATAGCATCTCAATGACGCTGACTTGGAACTAAAAAACTACAAAAAATAAAACATATGTCGACATATTTACAAAATAAAAACATAAATGGCAAAAATGCACTACAGAATTATTCAAACTTTAACTTAGATAAATTCAAATCAAGATTCTTAATTTTGTTGTTGTCCTTTTTCTCTATCAAATGTTTTAGTAATCATCATAAATTATATATCATTTGAAAGCTTAGAATCCCAAGATTTTCCCATTTTGAAATCGGACATTGTGTTACCATGGAAATAGTACTTTAAAATGTTTTGGCGGTCTCCTCCCGCTTAGTGGGCAGTGTCAAGTGTCATATTACAAAATGCATTACACTCTTTTACAATCAAATCTTTGACAAAACACATATCACTGGAAAGGTCTGAGTCTCAGGATTCCATATTTGGTGGTTACTTTGAGATAGCAATATTGACAGAGAAATCTAGACATTTGTGACAGAAAAATGCATTAAAAAAATTCAGTGGAGTTTGGATGGCACCCGGTGGCTGTTTGTGATATAACGCCCTAAATACAATCTCACAGGAACCTACATTTTTTTCATATCAACTTCAAATTTGGAACATAACTTATTTAGACATAAGGCTTTAATTTTATACCAATTTTAGAGTAAAACCTGTTATGTAAATATGAATATAGTGCATTTTATTTACAGTAAATTTAAACTTCTATAACTTTGATATTTTTGAAAAAATTCCACTTTTGCAATAATCTGCTGATTTTCTTCTTTAGGGTTAGAGTTACAAAATATCTTAGGTTAGGTTTGTATTCCAAAGTGTTCATAAATTACAACAATTAAGTTTGGATGTTTTTTTTTTAAATGGGGGGTGGCAGTTAAGGGGTTAATCTTGAGATGAAAGCAGCTCCTTCAGAAGAGAAGCCAGTTATTGTTCTCTGTCCAGTCGCTCACGTTTACCTTGATCCGAGCTGTTTTCTGCGGTTAGATCAGTCCTCTCATGTGCGCTGGACCTGTGAACCTGCTTTAGGAGACAGCCAGCCGTTAGTTCTCTCCGTCTGCAGACGCTCGGATGAAGAGATGAAGGAGTTTCTCTACCTCTGAGTGTGTGGCGTCAGCACTGAGCACCTCCAGAGATCTGCCACCATCTCGACTCGGCCTTCTGATCTCACTGGAGGCCGGGCGAGAAATATCCTCCAGAAAACCCTTCGTGATGTCCATCCGGTCCACAGACACTGGAACACAGCAGAAGATGACCCTCACAGAGACACAAACCGCTCTTCTGTTGTGTGGTTTCAAGTCAAGTCACGTTTATTTAGTGCATCTCATTATGCACATCGCTCCAGAACAGCTCTATAGAAAATCATAACATCTTCATGCCCTATAGTCGCATTTATTAGATTAGAGCTTGAGTATATCTCAACATGAGTGTATTATATGTATGTATAAAACAATATATATAATTTATATATAATATAAATGGGTGATGATATAGCAATACAGTCCAAATATAATGCCTGTGAGTATGGTACTATTATTATGGCAAGCCGTTTTGACGTTTAATCATCAGGATATACATTTTTGATATCAACAATTCGGTTTTCACTAGTTAAAATTATTATGAATTGTTGATATCATGAATTAATGTTTAACTGGTGCACATGTAATTCCTGAAATCAACAATCAGCATTTCCATGAGTAAAAATTGCATTTCTAACATCAATAAAGTTGCATTTTAACTAGTGAAAACTTAGTCGTTTTATAGTTGAAATGGTATATTTTTGATATCACAAATTATGTAAAATTATTGCCAAGTGAACTAATGCACAACTAGTGAACACACAATTACAAATATCAATTTTTACATTGACTATATTGAAGCTGACCTACTGAATTTTTTTTTCCTGATATAAAAAATTATCAATTTAGCTAGTGAAAATGTAATTGTTAATATCAAAAATTCATATCCTGGGAATGATGTCAAAACTATTACTATAAATACTACATATCCTACTAATAGTGTAATAAAACTGATCAAGACACAAGAAAAAAGTATAGTTACTTCACTTACAGTCTTACATGTTTCTATACGTTTCATACTTTCGCTAATCATGTGATTCATAATTAAAGGGGTCATGAAATGTATGACATATAACAGGTCAATACACTATAAAAACATCCTGGAAGTTTCAGAACTCAAAACTTTCGCATTAGTTTAAGAACTAATGTGTTTATTTTTTAGCACAGCAGCTTTTAGATATTGTTCTGCTTTTTGTTATAAGTCAGAAATGAGAAGGAGGCAGCCTCCAGCAATAGAAAGACAATGGAGAGCGTTGGATTGTTTCAAAGTCCCTTTAAAGGTCCCATATGGTCAAAACTGAAATTTCCTGGCTTTTTTCACGATGACTGAGGTCTAGGGGCTGTGTAACTACCATATAAGTTTCAAAACAGTCAGTCCACAGTAAAATGCACACAGCCTGCATAAAGTAGCTGTGATTTTTCACGAACCGTTGTGACTTCTGTAAAAAGTTGAGGTCTGACCTACACAGTCACCGCCTTCAGTCACCCCCCCGAGCCCCGCCCACCGTCCCACTCTCCTTTAGCCACACCCCCAGACAACATCACGTCCATGCCATTGCTGAGCAACAACAACAACAACAACATGGAAACATGTGGAAAATGTTAACTTTAACCACGAAACCAGATCGGCCGAGCTGTAACGTTACGCTCACTCAAAGGATGGACGATCTGACAGGATTGTTATTATGAGGTGATCACATCTAACCTGTAGTAAAGACAAACTCACCGTGTCTATCGAGTCATGATGAAGATGTGTATACATTTCAATTTCAGCAGGCAACTATTTTTACAGCTACATTATTGTTCCAGCCACAATTAATCACAACAATGTATATACAATTACAAAT